TGGGAATATTATACGCTTATCGTTTGAGGTTGAGCATGATATCGTAAATTATCAAGACCAAGTCCGTGTTATCCGCCGAAGCCATAGCCAGGCGAATAAATTAGCCGTGTTCTTGATAATTTACAATGTCGTGCGAAAACCGAATTCGGTAATCGTTTTATTCTAAGAATCAAGGACAGATAATCCCTGAGAATCTATATCATCCTCAAAACAACTGCAGACAATTGAGCATTATGCTATAAAGGCGCTGAAATACGAGACACAAAAACGTCCAACTTGTCGTGCAACATTGTTGCGGTGCAAGTTCGAAAACAATGTTGCTCGTTTTACATCCTATCTATCCAACTTGTCACGCAACAAAATTTTGTTTGCAAGTTGGGAAAACTTGTTGCGAAAAGTAGAACGTAGATCAACTTTCAACGTTTTTCATCACTCGTCCAACTTGTCACGCAACATTTTATGTGCAGAAGCGGCCGCCATCTTGAATGATGTAGCTTGTAGCCAATCAGCGTGCAGAATATCACCGTGATAGTCCCAACTTGCAACATTAGATTTTGTTGCGTGACAAGTTGGATAGATAGGATGTAAAACGAGCAACATTGTTTTCGAACTTGCACCACAACAATGTTGTTGCGCGACAAGTTGGACGCTTTTGTATCTCGTATTTCAGCGCCTTAAGTTCCTGTAAGTTCCCTCAAACTCGCAGCAAAAATCGGAAAAAACGTTTGATATTTTTTTGAAAGCAGAATGGATTTGCGTGCGTACAGACTTTCTCCCTGAGAAACGTCAGCAAATATTTGAAAGCCATTTTGACCAACAACCTTGCATTGTTGCATATCAAACTTTCCCCCAAAACAACCTTTCAACCATCAACTCTATATCCACAAGGATAACCTTCTCTTATTTAGAAGATGTCTTTTTGGTGATTTTTCTTGCCACCATTATATAAAACTTTAAAATGTCGACAATATGATTAAAAACTTGCCGATATAAAAATATAGCGAAGAAACACTCGAAATTATCCACCATCTTGAATTTAGCTTAGAGACCTGCCCTTTGACAAAGAAAGCCCAAAACGCTTTAAAAGCACGGGGATTCGAAAAGCCAATATAAGTTTGACATGGTACTATTGTATTTCCGATGCAGTCCGCAAATGTCTGCGTCCATTTGAAAACGAAACCCAAGCTAAAGAAGGACATTGTCATCCGATGTATCATCCAATGGGAACCGAGGGCTCAGTATGCAAATCTTTTAGTGGCAAGATACTAAGCACTGTAGACGTGTTGACTGAATTCCAATGCATGGATCTTTGCATGAGAAACTGGAGGTATGTCTACAAAGAAATAACTATAGACCAGTTGCCAATGCAAGGGCGCCAGGACAGACGGATTGGGTTTTAGATGTATGACTGTACTATCCGTGCCAAGCAGCGCCGGCGTCACTTCGTTAGCGATTACTCTCCTTTAATAAATTAATCAAATTTACCTTCAGTGACGCCGGCGCTGCTTGGCACGGATAGTACAGCAGTAAATACTGAGAGCGTACGTACGGCTGATTCAAACCAGAAAGACCGTTGGGAGACGTGGTAAATATATTCATATCGTACGGCTGATTCAAACTAGAAAGAGGTACCGTTTGTTGGAAATTAGAATAACTGAAAGAATCACACATACATCTAAAACCCAATCCGTTTTTCCTGGCGCCCTTGGCCAATGTTTACCTTTTTACGAGATTCCTTTGCCTACCTTGGGAAGCATGGGTGGCGTAGCGGTGTGAGCGCTCGCCTCTCACCAATGCCAACCGAGTTCGAGTCCCGCCGTGCTCGGCGTTGTATGTGAGTAGAGTTGTTTGTTGGTTCTCTCCTGTGCTTCGAGGGTTTTCCGGGTTCTCCGGTTCTCCTCCCTCCGCAAAATCAACTCCTTAATTCCAATTCGATCATGGAAGGAGGGCCACAGGTTTGTTAGCCACTGGCTATTAAGTGCTACCCTCGTGAAAAAAATAACCACTTGGATGCGCGCGCATGCCAAGCGCTAATACCTTCTCATAGCCATTGAGTTTAACTGTCCATTTAGATGTATTTTCCTGAAAATTCACGTATTTTTAAGAAGTAATAATGAGCAGTCTTATAAAAATGATAAACAGCTCGTCGCTTGTTTTTCCTCCAGGAATGCGCACGCATCGTGTTTATAATTTGGTATGACGTAGCAATGCAAGACGCTTTTCACTTGAGTTTGGCGCGACAAAGTTCAGTGAAATGTGCAATGTTATCAAGGGCGAAGTCAAACGTATTCATTTCTAGGAAGGAAGCATAATACTGACGTACGGCAATAAAGCTTGGAAATCACGAAGGTGACGGTCTTTATCAGTAATGTTACGTTGTCCTCGGCAACTTGCACGTGCAAAAGTCATCGACAAAGTTCCATAACTAAAGCTCTCGGCCTCAACCGCAACCGTAGTACTTCTCGAACGACATCACGCATCCAATTATTTATATTTATTTATTTATTTTGTTATTCTGCCAAAACGACGGGTTCTAAGGAATAGACCTATCCCAAATTTGCTTAAGTGATCACTAAACAATGGTTTCAAGTCGAGGTTGGATTTGATGAACAAAAGAATCAAGTTCAGGCTCGACTTCAAACCATTGTTTCGCTGTCATCCAAGCGAATTCAGGAATGGTCTACTAAGCATAATTTTTTTGGAATAGACCCGTTTCGAATTCCAAATTACTGCTGTGTTCCTTGATTACAGACTCATTTGCACAGGGTTAGCCTCGTATCAGTGTTTAAATATTCACAAATACCAACGGTAAAGTAAAGAATGCACAACTTCAACAATACAAACACTTTGATACTCGACGGAACTTGACTGGAACACGTGAATATTCTGCACAAACTCGAGGCTAACCCTGTGCAAATGAGTCTGTAATCAAGAAACACAGCGGTAATTTGGAATTCGAAACGGGACTATTGTAACAAATGGACTTTTCTCGAATGTTTCAACCTCTAGATGCGTGGCTTTCAACATTTATAAAAGTGAAGTCAAGTCGCGCCCATGTCAACTGCTAGAGTCTTACCATCCCTCATCAGAATGTAAGACGGAATACATTGGAAAGAAACTGGACCGAGAGGCATTTTACAAGGTACACACACCTATTTCAATAAGTGTTATCATTGCCAAAGGCGATAGGCCAAAAATGATAGGAGATTGGTCATTCCAATATCCAAGAATAGCTGGAATTGACCTTATTCACGCGGCAGCCATGTTGGATTGAACAATAGATTTCACCACGCGTAGCCTCAAATTCAAGCGCTTGAAAATTAATTTATGCGGGTGAAACAAAGGTTTTTTATTCTCATGAGAATAAACATGGCCACAGTGTGATAAAGGTCGATGACTTGTGTTTCTGCTTCTTATTGTCGTCAAGAACATTGACCTTAGTGTTGAGACTGATTCAATGTTCTTTGTATCCAACGTAACCTTTGGCCTTGACAACGTTCGATGAAGCAGGCGGTAATATTGTAAGCTAGTTGTAATACAGCTTCAATGCAGTGATTCACAGGCATGCGTAAAGGAAGTACTACATTTGGAGATCAACATGATGACGCCGTACTGTCAGGGGTAGGGGTAGGGGTAGGGGGAGCATGAAACCTTGAAATCCTTCACTGGTTCTGTGGTATACGTCAATAGTGAGATTCTCAGGTTCTACCCTGCGGTCCTCGGGCTCTAACTTTTTATTTTTCATTTTTATTTATTCATTCATTTATTTATTTATTTATTTATTTATTTATTTATTTNATTTTTTATTTATTTATTTATTTATTCATTCATTTATTTATTTATTTATTTATTTATTTATTTATTTATTTATTTATTTATTTTCAGGCTTATCTCAACCCAGGTTGTACCGTTCAAGAAGTAACCTGACACTTAAAACAATAACATGGGGGACGGGAGGGAGGAGAGAAGATATATCGCCATTCTCTCTACACAAAGTTTTACAACCTAAATGCTTTATTAATTTCATTAATGTTTCATCAAATAGACTAACTGTTTGCCTACCCCTACTCTCCTCCTACTCTCTTTGCTTCGAGCCTTTCTCGTCTGTTTCTTTGACGGGCTATCTGTGGTGTGTGACCGAGGGAGACTGAGAGTGAGCTAGCGAGCAAGCGAAACATTCCCTGTCCTACTCTTCCCTCCTTTATCACACAGGAATCCCAATCACCCAAGAAAGAAAAATAAGAGGGCCGGGATGCCTGCGGAACGGGAAGCTACCCTATCCCAAAGATGCACTGCATTCTTTTTATTTTCCCTCCTTATTATTGATTTCTGGAAACTAAATTCCAATCCAAGCTATGAGTTAGCCGCGCACATAACTCAGATCAGCCCAGAGTTCAGGGTTCCTTCTGTGAGTTTGTAGCCATACAAGCATTCAATCAATCTGCCTAGAGGTTTTTCAACTTATTAATACATTAGTAAGTTTCATTTGAAGCTTTTTAAGTTGATCTAATACCTAGGCTATCATGAATTATTGGCAAAAAGAGCTCGTATGATTAAACTGTTACGTATTACAATTTTAAATTACTTATTTACCATACATTTTTGATTGATTTAATATTTTTTTGATTGACCGAATTACAAAACCCTGACAAGCCTAAACGTTGCAAAAGTCATGATAACATATCAAAACAGAAATGCTTATTCATGAGACACGAATGAACTGATGTCATAGCAGTGTTATATCATCTATCAATCAAAATAAAGTTACAAAGAAGAGGTATGACTATTCTAAATGCATGCATACATGTACTAAGTAACACAAGAAACTGTCTGTAGATAACGACTAGTTTGGACTGCGTCGGTGTTTTTTAGTTTGAATCAAATGTGTCGTAGTAGATGATTTTATCACCGTAACTACGAAAGATAATAGACTGACGTTTCGGACGTTAGTCCTTCGTCGGAGTCAATCAAGAAACTGTCTACATATTCTCGTCTTTACATAGTTGTGATTTAGCTTTGTGAAAACCCCTTTAAATGCATAACTCCAGCTCAAACGTAATACAATATCAGGGATAGTGGAAATAAGTACATATTCTTTCTCAACAGCATGTTTTAATTAGGTACAAGTGGTCATGACTTTGAATAAAAGCCCTAATTGATTTGCGGAAGTCGTTTTAGCTCACGCCTTTAACTTAATGACGTCAAAGGTCACCAAGATCTTCATATTCAAGCATCCTAGTTTGGCGGCTTGAAATTAGTCTCCCTCGCATCCGTTTTTAGAGAGACTAGCTTGAAACAAGCTTGAAATGAAATAAACAGTTTAAGTATTAATTTTGTCAGAAAAATGATTGCCAATAAAAAAAACATTAATTATTGAATCGGAACCACTTTACATCATTGAACACCATATTGGCTTTCCTTTATAGCCGCTTTGTTTTAACAGGGATCCGGAAATACGTCAAAATGTACAGAACTGATGGGTAGACAATTTTAGTTGTGAATATTAACATATCAGTTGAATTCACAGGCGTTTTAGCAGTTAATCAAACAATATATATACTAGTCTTTTATCAGTCATGTTTCCTTATGAACCTGAGATGATTTTGCTGCAAAGGAAAGTTAAAATTACACTTCGCAACTTCCGGTGTGGTTCCACCAGACCGGAAATAGAATATCAAGCAAGATTCACTACCTTCTAAACTCTTCTTTCCTATCTCCAATTAAGTTTGTATTTCGAACAAGACAACCTGAGCAAAAAGAAAGAATTGTGATTCCAAAGAAGTTTTTTCTTAGGTGAATTTAAAGCATACTGCGGAGCAAATTTCGAATCACGTCGAGCCAAGAACAACAGGAAGGGCGTATTCTGTGTGCAATCGAAAAGTCGATATATCAAATGCCTCTTCCGCTGATAACTGTAAAAGAAGGAACTGGGAATTCTATTCTACATGTAATAAAATTATTTGTGAAAAACAATATCAGATAATGAAAATTTTATTTATTTTTTATTTAAGACGAGCCATCCATACATGTCTCCTTCACATTCACATGAAAACATTACCAATAAATAACTGATAATAATGGCTTTAAACATAAATGATTACTGTTACAAATTATGTTTTAACACGATTAATAAACTGCACTCCAAGCATTTTTTTTTTTTTTTTTTCCCATTCTCATACCCTTTGATCATGATGTGTGCTCTATATATATATATATCCTACTGACATTACTCGCTCAAGTGATTATGCACTACAAAAACTTTTGAATCAAGTTGAATTTTACATGTTTTCAAACTTCATAATGCCTGCTCCCTTTCTTATCAAAGATATTTAATACTGATTGTAAATGAAATTAAGTTTAACGTAGGGGGTCTATGATGAAATCCATAATTATTAGCTATATAAATCTAACTGGTTTTAAACAAAAATTATTCAGAAAACCGGAAATATGCTTCAAATTAAATTGACTGTTCCGGGACTGAGTCATTAATCTATTTATAGAATCATTTAACCACATGCTGATTTTTGTGACGTCGTTTATGTACAGTCAATATTGGGGGGACTACCCGACAAGCCCTTAACTCCAACCTTAGCTTATAAATATGGCTTTGTCCTAAGTTAGTGGATCAAATGTGTGAAGCTATAGAGGACACCGCACTTAGCGCTTAAGGTAAAGCTACAGTGAACCCAAAAAACAATGAAAGATTTGCATTTAAAAGCTAAAACATTATTAGGTAAGTGCTGAGTTGATTGTAGTCTGACTCTTGAATTGCGTTAAACTAGTTAACCACTAGCAAGCCGCAACACTTGATATCGATCAACCACATCCTCTCACTGCTTACTGTTAGGAAGTCAGTTATTATGAGGTATTAACTAAACTTTAAAAAAGTATGTGAGACTGGATGATGGAATTATCACGACCAAAAAAAAAAAAAAAAAAAAGACGACTCATCAAATTTCTTGACAAAAAGCTGCATTACCTCAAACAAAAGGCTATTCTTTCGGCTTAAAACGTTGGAAAAACGTTCTAAAACAACCTGTTTAGCAGCATAGATAATTCCAAAAAAGCCGAAAAAGTGTATGCATTGTAATACTTTAAAGGATCAATAATTTGTAGGCAAGCCTTAAAAGGGCTTTTTCGAAAAAGTTTTGCTTTCCACTGCACGTAAATGTATCGTTTTCGAATGAAATACAATCTAGAGCAAAATAACTGAGATTTTCCTTATATAGTTCCAAATTAAATCCCTCAAACGTTAACCAAAAAACCTCATTTATTTTTCGGTTTTGATCAGTGTCGTTTAAAATTCTATTAAACTCTCGGCAACTACAAAAGGGATTTTTCACACGGAAAAAATACAGGTTACTTCTGGTCGTAAATATAGTTTTGAAAAACAATCTGTAAAAGTCAATTCGAAAGAGCCAGAATTATAGTTGGAAAACCAGTGGCAGTGTTGAAAATTCAAATAAGCTCTTATATATATGTTTTTTTTATTGACAATTCAATTGAAAATTTTAATATCTCTAGCTTTCAGTTTCGCTGAGCCCACATCGGCGCTGTAACGCGGCATGTAACGACCAGAGGTCATGGGCTAAAAAAAGATTTTGATACACTAGATTATCATGAATATAGGCAAATGAGCTCTAAATGAACCGCGTTTACATGTATCTGAGTTGTTTATAAAAAATGTAATTTTTCAAACCCATTTAACTCAGTGTTTAAACATAACTCGCCACATCACTGAGCCCACATCGGCGCTGTAACGGCATGTAACGAACAGAGGTCATAATCTAAAAAAAGGTTTTGATAAACTATTATCATGCATATAGGAAAAGGAGCTCTAAATTAACTACGTTTATCTGAGTTGTCTATAAAAATGTAAACTTTCAACCCTATTTAACTCAGTTTAAACATAACTTGCCAAACAAACACTTAAAAGGTTTCAATATCATTATACTATTTCGTACGATTATTTGGCAATATGAGTATTATTTCAAATATAGTATATGGCTATTCCGTTTAGGATATTAAAAGAGGATTGTTCATAAAACGATTGAAGTATTACTTAATTATTTAAGAGATTTAGGGTATTCTTACTGTTGAAAAAAACAAAACAAAAAAAAAAAAAACAAACAACCAGATTTAATTCTGCTACACATTAAAACTGAAAAAAACTGAACCTTATTTATGAAATCGCATTTCAAGTTATGAAGATTTGATACGTAAGTTTGTTGAAGTCATGAATAAACGGATAGTAGTAGTTGGGAATTTTCCCCGATAAAGATCAGTAATGGTTACCCGAAGCTTAAAATGAAAATATAAAATAAACGAATTAACATATATATTTTCTGAAGAACGTCACCTTAAATAAAATAATAATAGTAATTTAATTGTTATCTTATATATATCTCAAACTATTAACCATATCTGATTAACCAAAATTCCAGCTTATTTTTGGGAGCCAACTGAGCACGACCAAATAAATTCATAGTTAAAGGGTTTTTTTTCGTGACGTCTGAGAATCGAAACCAGGTAGGGACGTCACGTAGGGTTGTTGAATCCGCGTTCTTGTGATAAAATTAGGACATTAAAATTTCACTACATGATTGGAAGCCATTCAGGTCTGAAGCACAGGCTAGAAATAAGAATATTGCAATTTCTGTAAAAAAGAAAAATACCTCGATTCGGCATTCTTTGCAGGCGCCACGCAGTCCTTCGTAGGCTCTACTTTACAAGCATATTCCGGATTTTACGCTCAGCTCAAATTGTTGGAATTTTTTCTCGGCAATATTCTACCTTTTTTCCTTTTCTTCTTGTTGTTCTTCTTTTTCCTCTTTGATTTTTCTTTGTATTTGTAAAATGCTCTTTTATTGAACTAATTATGCCCGCTAAATGACCTTTCTGATGCCTTCTAGTTTTATAGTAAGCAAATAAACTCTTTAAAACATAGCCCTGAACTCGAGATTTCCGGTTGATAAAAGACATTCAATAATGTTGATTCGCCTTTTCGGCGCTAGCCGTCACGGAGTATAAATTGTTTTAGATTGTGTTACGGTCACCACAGAGTTCAGACATTGTTCTCGAATTTCCGTACAAATGTACTGACTCTAAATGAACTATTTACTTGGTTAATGTTTAGTTAGTTCTCTAAATACAAGTAAATAATCATTTTTCTAGCTTCATTGAAGCTTTTCCTACTGCTCTTAAGAGAGATGACTAGCTAAAAACTAGTGTGAGCTGCGTCGGTGTTTCTAATGAAACAGTAATGATGAAAAGGTGAATTATACACCGTGAAAAGATAAAAAAACTTACTGACGTTTCGGACGCTAGTCCTTCGTCGTCAAGTAAAAGAGAGCTCTTAAGAGAGCTTAAGAGAGCTTACTGAAGAAATCTCTCTAGATTTTCTCTTTAAAGTCAGTGAATTTGTATGGAAATCTGAGAACGATGTCCGAACTTTTTTACAAGTCAAGTGTTAACATACCTTCTTTTTCAATCTTTTTCAGGTTTCTTAATTGTAGTATCATGGCTAGGGACATATGTAAATGCTTGTCCTGTAGGGGACTACGAAGCCAAGTGTAGGAGTTGTGTCAACACTTTTGTGGATAATTTACGACAAGACCCTAAAATCAACTGCAGGTAAAACAAATGCATAGCCATTAGTACCTCAATATTGCAGGGGTGTATATACAATAGAGCAATCTCGTACCCAGAGCCTGCGTTTCTTCTGGCCTGCGGCGAAGAACGAGGGCTCTGGCATAATCCATTTTTTGAGACCAGGGTTTCTTGGACTTCCGGTACTGAACAGCGCATGTGTTCGAAGACTTGCCAAAAATTAAAAAATATTTTCCCGATTTCAAATTCTTACCATGACCCTTACTTTGATTTTTACTTTGTTATTTTTTCTTTGATTTGAAATTTACTTTGATTATTTTGATCGGTTATATATCACTTTTCGAAAATTGCGCATGCGCCAAAATATGGATTATGCCAGAGCCCTCGTTCTTCGCCGCAGGCCAGAAGAAACGCAGGCTCTGGGTACGAGATTGACACTAGAGAAAAACGTATGCGCATGCGTGCCTTTCACTGGCACGTGTTCGAATAATCTCGTACACAGAGCTTTAGTTATTGCGCATTCTCGACGAAATAAAATATTTTATTTAATTCATCGAGCATGCACAGTAATGTTTTCCCATTTCAGACCACGTGTCATAAGATTATTTGTTTAAGTTGTAGCCATTCATCAGTTCATGTGCATTCTCATGCGCGACCTTCAAACAAAAATATGATACTCTAGGGAATGACACGTGGGCTGAAGCGGCACAACATTACGTCCAAGCTAAAGAGGACTATTGAATTCTTATTTAAAATCATTTTCTCCAATTCCATTAGTACGAAATACGCTTCTCTCCGAGAATGCATTTCCTTAGAAAGGACCCGTTGCTTGGCAACCCCCGGCATCAGCACCAGTACAAAAGCCATGATCCGTCAAAGAGCAATGGTTTACGCAGCAAGCGAGGAGTTCTTCTGTGTTGATGGGATGTTCAACTCAATGAAGCACTACAAGAGATCAGCCCTTCCAAAGTGCAAAGCCAAGTTCTTCAGGAAGGTGGCTAAGTGTCGAGTTAGGTTTAGAAAAAGATTCCTGAAGAACAGAGGAAGTAGTTCTTTATGTAGGTAAGGATCAAGATCATTTCTTGTCAAAGTTAAGTCTCAGACTTGATTTAAGAGTGCTCCTCTGGAATTGGCCCTTGTTAGCCCAGGGGTTGTTTCATGGCACCGATAAATTTGGAGCCGACTTGTGAGGGTTAAGTTATCATATCCGTCTTATAATCTTAACATAATGATCTTTCATTACTTTCCCCAAGGTATTTTTACAAGGCCAAGAAATGTATGATATCCGCATTGACAAAAAACTGCAAAAACTCTAAATTTTTGCCCCATTTGGTGTCGACCTACAAGCAGGCCTACAATCCTTACTGCAGGAACAGACAAGACCCTTTAAAGAAACAAATAAGTAAGAGGAATTAAAATAATCTTTGAATCTTATATGATGTTTTGGGTCATCGCCTTCTCGTTGTGTTACTGGGGAATAGGAGATAAATCAAAAAGAGAGAGAGAAGAGAGAAGAGAGAAGAGAGAAGAGAGAAGAGAGAAGAGAGAAGAGAGA